CAGGATGTGTGCACATATAAAGACATGGTGTACAGAACAGTGGTACTCCCTGGCTGCCCACGACACACCATTCCCTACTCTTATCCAGTGGCGATGAGCTGCAAGTGTGGTAAATGTAACACTGATTATAGTGACTGCATTCACGACACAGTCAGGACAGACTATTGCACTAAACCACAGAAGCCCTATAACGTATGAGCTTCTTAATGAACGAGGTAGAAACGTATCTTCTTCCCCACAGCTAGCTAGTGGCTGTTTATAACTGACTCTCAAATAAAACTGTATTTCACAACTGATCTGCAAGTTGCTCTGTAGAATTTTTTAATCTAAAGAAATCTTAGCAAAGTTACTATTGTATCACCCTGACAGGACAAAGCAGCTGCAACATTGGAGGGCACTGATAGAAGTGAAGGGAGACAAGGAGGATAAAATCACCACTGGAAGTGCAGGGGGAGTTAGGCATTGCTTGGGGGATGCACCCTTGCCTACTGGATGATGACCCAAGATGTAGTGATGCGCTGTTGTCATGTTCAGGCTCTGCTCCGGGTGTAATTATTTTTTATCTGTTCTCTGCCCCTTGGTGCCATCTAAACTGGATCCCTGCAGTGCGTTCTTTTCCTCTTTGCTCTCGTATGCAGACATCCAGTTACTCAGTTTGAGTGCTATCTCAGATATGCTCTCTCCACATGTAGTGTCGTTGGGTGTGCAAGATATGTCTGTGGCTTTAAACATCTGGGGCTGGGAACTCCAGAATCAAGGACATATGCTGAGAATCCCCTTTGCTACTTGACTGGTGGAGCCTGAGTTTGTTGTACTTTATGGCTTATTATAAAGGGTAAAAAGAGGAACATGTGCATGCTGAACCTTATGTTTAAGTTGTGATTGTAAAGATTATATGAAATGTGGTTCGGACACAGTTGGTCACTTTAAAAAAATTAATAAAATTTGTGACCCATGGTCCTCTTTCAATGTACATTAAGTTGAAGTATACATGCCTGCTCCTCTATCTGGGTTATACAGAATCATAGACTACTAGGACTGGAAGGAACCTCGAAAGGTCATCGAGTCCAGTCCCCTGCCCTAATGGCAGGACCAAATACTGACTAGACCATCCCTGATAGACATTTATCTAACCTACTCTTAAATATCTCCAGAGATGGAGATTCCACGACCTCCCTGGGCAATTTATTCCAGTGTTTGACCACCCTGACAGGTAGGAACTTTTTCCTAATGTCCAACCTAAACCTCCCTTGCTGCAGTTTAAGCCCATTGCTTCTTGTTCTATCCCCAGAGGCCAGGAAGAACAAGTTTTCTCCCTCCTCCTCATGACACTTTTAGATACCTGAAAACTGCCATCATGTCCCCCCTCAATCTTTTCTTTTCTAAACTAAACAAACCCAATTCTTTCAGCCTTCCCTCATAGGTCATGTTCTCTAGACCTTTAATCATTCTTGTTGCTCTTCTCTGGACCCTCTCCAATTTCTCCACATCTTTCTTGAAATGCAGTGCCTAGAACTGGACACAATACTCCAACAGAGGCCTAATCAGCGCAGAGTAGAGCGGAAGAATGACTTCTTGTGTCTTGCTCACAACACACCTGTTAATGCATCCAAGAATCAGGTTGGCTTTTTTTGCAACAGTGTTACGCTGTTGACTCAGATTTAGCTTGTGGTCCACTATAACGCCTAGATCCCTTTCTGCTATACTCCTTCCTAGACAGTCACTTCCCATTCTGTATGTGTGAAACTTGTTGTTCCTTCCTAAGTGGAGCACTTTGCATTTGTCTTTATTAAACTTCATCCTGTTTACCTCAGACCATTTCTCCAATTTGTCCAGGTCATTTTCCAGCTTGGTATCATCTGCAAACTTAAAAAGTGTACTTTCTATGCCAATATCTAAATAGTTGATGAAGATATTGAAGAAAGCCGGTCCCAAAACAAACCCCAACAGAACCTCACTTGTTATACCTTTCCAGAAAGATTAAGAACCATTAGTAACTACTCTCTGAGTACAGTTATCCAGCTAGTTATGCACCCATCTTACAGTAGCCTCATCTAAGTTGTATTTGCCTAGTTTATTGATAAGAATATCATGCGAGACTGTATCAAACGCCTTACTAAAGTCTAGGTATACTACATCCACCACTTCTCCCTTATCCACAAGACTTGTTATCCTTTCAAAGAAAGCTATCAGATTGGTTTGACATGATTTGTTCCTTACAAATCCATGCTGGCTGTTCCCTATCACCTTGCCACCTTCCAAGTGTTTGCAGATGATTTCCTTAATTACTTGCTCCATTATCTTCCCTGGCACAGAAGTTAAGCTAACTGGACTGTAGTTTTCTGGGTTGTTCTTGTTTCCCTTTTTATAAATGGGCACTATATTTGCCCTTTTCCAGTCCTCTAGAATCTCTCCTGTCTCCCATGATTTTCCAAAGATGATAGCTAGAAGCTCAGATACCTCGTCTATCAGCTCCTTGAGTATTCTACGATGCATTTCATCAGGCCCTGGTGACTTGCAGGCATCTAATTTTTCTAAGTGATTTTAACTTGTTCTTTTTGTATTTTATCTTCCAAATCTACCCCCTTCCCACTAGCATTCACTATGTTATGCACTCCTTCAGACTTCTCAGTGAAGACTAAAACAAAGAAGTCATTAAGCATCTCTGCCATTTCCAAGTTTCCTGTTACTGTTTCACCCTCCTCACTGAGCAGTGGGCCTACCCTGTCCTTGGTTTTCCTCTTGCTCCTAATGTATTTATAAAAAGTCTTCGTTTCCCTTTATTCCTGTAGCGAGTTTGAGCTCATTTTGTGCCTTTGCCTTTCTAATCTTGCCCCTGCATTCCTGTGTTGTTCGCTTATATTCATCCTTGTAATTTGTCCTAGTTTCCATTTTTATGAGACTTTATTTTTAGATCATGCAAGATCTCGTGGTTAAGCCAAGGCAGTCTTTTGCCATATTTTCTCTTTCCTACGCAGCAGAATAGCTTGCTTTTGGGCTCTTAACAATGTCCCTTTGAAAAACTGCCAACTCTCCTCAGTTGTTTTTCCCCTCAGTCTTGATTCCCATGGGACCTTACCTATCAGCTCTCTGCGCTTACCAAAATCTGCCTTCCTGAAATCCATTGTCTCTATTTTGCTGTTCTCCCTACTACCCTTCCTTAGAATTGTGAACTCTATGATTTTATGATCACTGTCACCCATGCTGCCTTCCACTTTCAAATTCTCAACCAGTTCCTCCCTATTTGTTAAAATCAAATCTAGAGTAGCTTTCCCCTGGTAGCTTTTTCATCCTTCTGAAATAAAAAGTTGTCTCCATTGCAGTCCAAGAACTTATTGGATAGTCTGTGCCCTGCAGTGTTATTTTCCCAGCATATATCTGGATAATTGAAGTCCCCCATCACCACCAAATCTTGGGCTTTGGATGATTTTGTTAAATTGTTTAAAAAAAGCCTCATCCACCTCTTCCACCTTTGGTAGGTGGCCTGTAGTAGACCCCTAGCATGACATCAACCTTGTTTTTTACCCCTTTTAGCCTAATCCAGAGACTCTCCACACTTCTGTCTCCTATGTCCATCTCCACCTCTGTCCAAGTGTGTACATTTTTAATATACAAGGCAACACCTCCTCCCTTTTTTCCCTGTCTGTCCTTCCTGAGCAAGCTGTACCCTTCCATCCCAACATTCCAATCGTGTATTATCCCACCAGGTTTCTGTGATTCCAACAATGTCATAGTTGCATTTATTTATTAGCACTTCCAGTTCTTCCTGCTTATTACCCATACTTCTCGCATTTGTACATAGGCATCTAAGATACTGATTTGATCTTGCCTCCCAATTTTGCCCTGACCCACCTTTCTCTCTGCCATTATAGCCAACACTCCCTCCCATTTCCGACCTGTATCTCAGGTCTCCATGTTCTCCACTTACCTGTGGGCTTTGTTCACCTGTCCCCGTCGAACCTAGTTTAAAGCCCTCCTCACTAGGTTAGCCAGTCTGTGTCCAAATAGGGTCTTTCCCCTGCTAGAAAGATGAACGCCCATCTATGCCTAGCAGTCCTTCGTGGAATAGCATCCCATGGTCGAGAAAGCCAAAGCCCTCCTGGTGACACCATCTTCGCAGCCAGGCATTCACCTCCAGGATGCACCTGTCTCTGCCCAGGCCCCGACCTTTGACAGGAAGGATGGAAGAGAATACCGCCTGCGCTCCAGACTCCTTCACCCGTACTCCCAGAGCCCTGTAGTCACTCTTGATCCACTCAGTGTCACACCTCGCAGCATCATTTGTGCCCACATAGATGAGTAGCATGGGGAAGTAGTCAGAGGGCCGGATAATCCTCGCCAATGCCTCCGTAACATCTCGGATATGGGCCCCCGGCAGACAGCATACCTCCCAAGATGAAATGTCAGGGCGACAGATGGGCACCTCCGTCCCCCTCAGAAGAGGGTCTCCGACCACCACTACCCTACACATTTCGTATTCGCAGTGGTGGCAGCAGACCTACCAGCCTTGGGGGTACGAGGCTTCTCCTCCTTCGTTGTAGGGGGTGATGCCTTACCCCCTGTATCACTCTGTGCACAGTAGGGGCAGCCTTCTCTTAGGTGCTGAGATGGCAGGGGTGAAGAGTCTCCTACTCACAGGAAACTATGTGAATGAATGATTTTTTGCCTATGAACTCCTGTGGATGTGAAACAGCAACAGGTGGCTCAGTAGTAACTAAGCTATCAATAAAACAGACCAAACATGTAGTGACAGGACTAGGTAGTTCTTAGCAGGTGGTTTGAGGCAGGAGAGAAAAGCTGCAAAATCTACAGAACTCGCCTATGGAGTTCAACCCTACCATTCACAAGTCTCTTTTTTTAACAGAATTGGAGAAGTCAGAGGTGGAAGAGGGCTGTTGAGTACCTTCTCTCTTATGCCCAAGCCAGTTTCACTTCCTTCACTCTTTCAAGGACTGCGTGGGGACATGCAACGCTGCATCCAAAAAAATAGCTCATTCATATAGATGGATCACTGGCTTTTACTGCAAAGTGGTATGGCAAGTACTGAGTACAGATGGCTTCTACAAAGTTACCATTAATGTCATAAAAGGCTTCAAGCTTTCATTGCATCATATACATTTAAACTGCATACTGCACACCCTGGATTTGGGGAAATGGCCAAAGAAACTGACCAGTTTATTCCTCTGCAACAGTAAGAAAGAAAAAAATGGGAGTACCCCTTCCATGAGCTCACTGCCAAGGGAAAAATGTTTAGCTATAAGAAACAACGTTAAAATATTATCTTTGAAGGTTCTTTATCCAGTTTTAGCCTCTGGTGCAGCTTCTAGCAAGTTTACTGGCTGCAATGTATGTTAGTTTAAAAGAAGATCTGGTCCCAAATTCCTGAGAAATTCAAGTATGTAGGGAGATATGCTAACAAGTTCTTGCAGCACCTAGGTTTCTCCTGAACAATCACAGGTTCATAAGCATGCAAAATCTTTTGAGGAATCACTCTACCCGTACTGTAAGTGATACAAAGGCCTTATACAGAGTGAATTTCATCCTGAGTGACTACAGAGGACAGCTGGTCTTCAATGCATGTATGGTCTATAATGGCTTTTGTTTTTAGCAGTCACCAAAGCAACCACCTTCTTTACAAGGAAATGCTCAAAACTGTAAACTATTATTATTAATAAGACATAGCTTTCTGTTCTCAATTAAATGTCAGGACTGAATTAATGAAACAGTGTTGGTGGAATATAGAATAAAAAAAATATCAAGTCAGACCTTTCCAGTCCAGTAGCTGGATAATCAAGTGTAGCTAATAGAGAGACTTGGCCCCCAATCTATTAAAAAATGTTGTTCATGTTCCCTTCATTAAAACAAAATTTACCTCCAACAGCATGTCCTTAACTTCCATGTAAGATTGAAGTTTTTAATCTGTCCCGTTAAATTCCATCACCTACTGAAATTTCAAATCAACTATCCCAGTGTTTGATCATACTACCTTCTGAAAAGTACACAAAATTTGGTAAAGCATTTCACATACAGGGAGCTTAGACCTTTAGCACGGGAGACATTCCCCCATGCACTAACAGTCTGCAGCCTCTTGTACCACATTGGTTTGTGGTGTTATAAAAGTCTGATTTTTGGTGCAAAAGGTTAATAGCAAAACACCATGAAAGGGAGACATACAGCATCCCCAAGCTGGGATGCAACACTGACCAGCAGTCTAGGAAAACATTGTCCTATCTTTCACTAACTTTAGTGATTAGTAACAGCCTATTGGGAACCACAAGTTTACTAAGAATATAAATAAATCAGTTTGCATTGCTATTTTTTTCTTGGATCCTCTCTGGATGAATGGTTCTTACAGGTTCTATTCCAGCATATCCATGGTATGAGGAGTCAGGATGAAAATCTGCCATATGGGGAAAGCTTCACCAGGAACTCCCCTACTCCAATAAAGTAAATGACTTGGGCTATACCAAAGAGAGGAGCAATGACTAATGCTCTGCAGCCAGCCCCTCTCAGGAAGGCAGATGGACCCTCCTTCCACCAAATTTTCCTGAAAATAGAAGATACTATACATTATTTTTCTTACAGTGTTCTCAGACATCACTGAATGCTCATGCTACTACTGTGCACAAAGTGTTTTTTCTCTATAGACATTCAGCTTTCATTAAAAAAAAAAGGGAAACTTGTGGAAGAAGCAAGTTTGTCTAATTCAGAACTAATGCTTCACAACCTTTTCAATACTAAAAACATATTTTAATTATGGGAACTCTTAGATCACTGACAAGTCAGACTTGGAGCCCCATGCCACTGCACTGAAATCAGTGGAAGTTAGGGGCCTGAATGCCTTTGTTCTAGGTGAAAGTATATTGACATGTACATCAAGGCAGTCAGCTAACAATGGCTCCCACCTGTATAGTTTACCCAAGTCATGTATCCCCCTAATTAGTCCATCATCATTCTTCATTTGTTACCTGGCACAGTCAACTAGTCCGCTGTAGCTGTTCTCATTTGTTCCTTTGGTTAGTGATTGGAGCCGTGTCTTTATTACTGGGAAATCAAAATTTTCCATGGTAAAGCATAATATTGGCTTGGACAGATTTATACAAGCAGGGGGAGGAAAGGACCGCTGAATGCTGTTTGAAGATACACATCTTGTCAGTTATCTAGACTAAGGCTTTTCTTGCTTTATTTTAGTAGACAGCAGAGGCCACAATGATCTCCTGTGCCCCATTCCCAGAAAAATGAAGGCAAGTGTGTTTAATTCAGTCTGAATACCCTTCTAGTCTAAAAAAAAAAATGTCATGTGTTTCCACTGATCTGGATGAAGACTCAACAGTTATCCTGCCCAATGTTCTACGTAATTTGTATTATACAAGAACATATGGACTGCAACACTGATCAGAACAGTGGTCTGTCCAGTTTTGCCTCCTGCAACAGACAAGACTTGGTGCTTCAAAAAAGACTATAATATACCTACCAATATACTCCTCCTCCTTTCTAAATCAATAGGAAGTTAAATCAATAGGAAGTTTCATTCATGTCTATAAATATATTGAGTTTTCTTGGAGCCATCAGCTTTCTTTGTTGGGACATTCTATCAGCATTCAAGGACTGTTTTTAAGAGCCCATTGATACTGCTGCCCTCCTCAAACACACATAGGAGAGGACTGGTACTCTTCAAGTGATGGTCTGTATGTCAAACATGTTAAAAAAAAAGCTGCTTACCATCGAATGGATTGACAGACACTGCTGCCACAGAGCCAGCCACACAACCAGCAAGAAATGAGTGATAAAATGGGGCTCTCTTCTCCAGAGACGCCTGTCCTCTTCTGTTCAGATGTGCAAATAATGGAAAGTAGATGATGGAGAAGGGAATGTCCCTGAGAAAAGAAGACACTTCTATAATTCTTCTTGATCAGCAGTCCTCACCAATAAAAGGAGAAAAAGAGAGTGTACAATTACCACCTCAGTAAGGTGGCTCCAAGACCCCTGTAGAGTCCTTTAATGCCTTGAGTATGCAGAATTGCAGCTGCTATATGTGTAGCAGATATTCTCTTTGCAAGTGCAGCAGATCCAATGTTAGGTGCTCTAGTCAGGGGAGAGCTGACAGCTACATGTTTGCAGCCAGAACTTGAATAGTGGACTCCACTCATAAGCTGTTGAGATGCTGAAATGAAGCAGGAAATGTCAAGCTTACTTATTTCCTGGTACTTCTGAAGTTTCAGATCTTGTTCTTCATCCTCAGTATTGATGAGGCTGGCGCTATCTGGCCATGGCCACCACCCAAAGCACCTTACAAAAACTGGCCTGCACTCAAGAAATCTCCTACTAAAGCTGATACTTCTCTCAGATCTTTGGCATGAAAGCTGAAACAATGTTACTTCAGAGATCTACGTGTACATGAAAATATGGCTCTTTAGCAGAGACACATTAATGCCCAGAAATAGACAGTGGGTGCCAAACACATTGTAAATGAGGAAGATTAGTGCTAATTACCTACTCTCCCTGCATCCTGTAGTTGGATTTTCAGCATCTCCATCGGAGTGGTGATAATGACCTGGCATGTTCCAGCACCACAGCCCGCCACCATCTCTCTGGATATGGTCAGGCCTGTTCTGAAATAGGGATGAAAAAGATTACAGTACAGCAATTGGTATTTAGACCATAAATTGTACAAGAGCAACCAAATACCTCACTATGTCACTCAGTAACCTTATTGCAATGCACTGAGGCAGACTCTGAAAAATAATATCTTCTTCCAATCAACCAGTTCATTACCTGACACTACAACGAACACTGTGCTGCATCATCTACTTACATACACCTTTGGCAGCATAAGGTACTGTATATAACTAGCAGGCTTGTTAAACAGCTGAGTAACTTTCAGTTCTATTCAAAGCAAAAGGGAAAAGTTCAGATTAATAAATCTGGCAGAAAAAGCCATGTCTACCTTATGAGAAGTTTTTCTTTTTTCCCCTCTACCATACATGATTTATGCTCTTAGCTGCTGTGTAATGATGGCCAAACATTACAAGTGTATTTGTAACCTAACAAGCTATTTAATATTACATTATCACGAAGGCATTAGTTTAGTTTTTTGAACTCACTAACTTTGTGCCCTTCTGCATACATGTTTTTCCACTAAGTTCCAGGGATGCTGGCCTCTATTTACTTCAACGAGACTACCTGTGTAAGTGAAGGATGCTGGATTGGGCCCTTAAAAGTTAAGGTATATATTTAGGAATGAATATAATTATTATCACTGTAGAATCTGATAGGGACGTTAAATGCAATTAATTTACTAATCAAGCAGTCAATAGTTTTTTTTATTGAATACTCCATTAGTCGATAAGGGTAGGCAGTTATAGCGCTCAGTCTGGCTCGTGCCGGTTCATAGCATTTTTCAGCACAGGGAAGCCAGCGCACAGAGACACTGGGTCAGCCCATGCACCGCAGGTCTCTCAATCACTAAGCATAATACCCACCCTCCTCCTCAGCTGCCGCTCTGCATTTTACAGCACAGGGAAGCGTCAGTCCCTGCTCCGCAGGTTTCTTATCACTCAGCATACAACCTTCTCCCCTCCTAGCTACTGCTCCACACTGAAGCCCGCGCGTGAAGATGTTAGGTCAGGCTCTGCTTTGTGGGTATCTTAATAAGAGACTTCCCTGTGCTGTAAAATGCAAGGTGGCAGCTGGAAGGAGAGAGGGTTGTATGCTGAGTGATAAGAGACCCATGGATCTGGACTGACCCAGCTTCTCCGCACGCCGGCTTCCCTGTGCAGTACAATGCAGAGCGGCAGTTGGGGCAGATGCAACTGGTCAACAGTGCTAACAGATAAACTCCTGCTTATCAGTTAGTTGAAAAGTTGCTAACATCCCTAGTACCTGAATAAGCATCTAATGCAAACCAAGACACTCCCTCTTTAGACTGCTTGTCTATGAGTCCTACAAATAATTCACATGGCTTTGACAGAGCTACAGTTTTATTTAATCAAAGTTAAACCTTATATTCAGAATGTGTATTCCACAGAAAGACTCATAGGGCCAGTCAGAGTATGTACATCAAATGCTAACATATACAAAAAGTATCAATTCTAGATATTTTGACTATCTACAGAGGAACGTACCCATCCCTGGCCAAGGAATGCCTGAAATAGTCATTTGCAGCAAGCTTGATTGCCTTCTCAGGTGTTACTAGTGTCAGATTTACTGCAGCACCTAAAAATCAATACAATTGTAATTAATTGAAATGAAGAGATTTTCTTCTACTTAATGTTTAGAGAAGTAACTTATAGGCTACGTCTACATAACATGCTTCTTGCGCAAGAAGCCTTTTGTGCAAGAGTTTTTGCGCAAAAACGTCTTGTGCAAGAGCACATCCACACCTCAAAGTACATCACAAAAGCGATGTGCTTTTGAGCACGAGAGCGTCCACACTTCATGGACACTCTTGCGCAAGAAAGCTTTGATTGCCATTCACAGAATAGCCTTCAGAGCAACTGTGCTTTTTCCCATAGGGATTTCTTGTGCAAGAAACTGCTCTGGAGAGCCCGCACTTGCCTTTTTGCACAAAAAGGAGTTATGACTCGTAAAAGGAGGTTTACCTATGCCGGAAAAAGCCCTCTCCTTTGCCGTTTTACTGTTGATTTACTTGCGCAAAAGCACATTTGAGGTGTGGACGCTCCATGTGTTTTTGTGAAAAACAGCTGGTTTTGCGCAAAAACCTTGCAGTATAGACGTAGCCATAGTGTGTGCTTATCTTATACTAACAAAATAATGCTTTTGCCAGGGTAAAGTTTCATGGGCAACCGTGTTAGTCTGATTCAGTAAAAACAACGAGGAGTCATGTGACACCTTAAAGATTAACAAATGTATTTGGACATAAGCTTTCATGGGCTGCAGCAGCCATATCTGCAGATGCAAAATAAACAACTTGCCTGGTGGCCTGCCAGCAGCTTACCCTGACAAGTTGTGTGCGGTCCAAAGGCCACACAAGTTGCCCAGCACTGCTTAAAAGACACTTGCAGATTATAATAAGTCTGTCACCTTTTGGGAACCATATACTGTAACTTATTTCTTTATATATGTTTGCTTGCTTTCACCTTGTAATAACTCATTTCTTTTTCCTCGTTAATACCTCTTTAGTTATTTATTTATGGAATTGGCTACAAGCACTATCTTTGGTGAGAGATCTGAGATACAGATTTACCTGGGGTAAATGACTAGTCTCTTGGAACTGGAAACATTTTGTGATTTTTGGATTGTAGGGAATCACAATCACTAAGTCCAGCTTGCTTGGGTGGCAAGCTAGAGTGGAGTGCCCAGTGGGGCTGTTTGTGACTGTTTCAGTGCTTTAGGAGTTCACACTGGGTGGTGAAATCTTAACTATAGAACACACAAACATTTTGGGGTGTATGCCCTGAGGTTGGTACACTCAGCTGTGAACAACTGCAGACACAGTGACATAGGTGTAATCTTGGTAGGACTCTCATGCCACACATCAGTTGTATTTATAGATCATAACTCAATGCTATGAAAAGTTTAAATTCAATAGTGAGAGTTTAAGGGTTGAAGATTAGTCACTATGAGTCAGTCTGGGTATGTCTAAACTACAGGGCTCCGTCGACGGAGCCATGTAGATTTGTTGTTTTGGCAAAGGCAAATGAAGCCGCGATTTAAATGATCGTGGTTTCATTTACATTTACATGGCTATTGCGCTGAACCGACAAACGGCTGATCAGCTGTTTGTCCGCTCAGCGCGCTAGTCTGGACGCTCCCCTGCCGACATCAAAGCCCTTTGTCGGCAGCCCCGTTATTCCTCGTGGGATGGGGTTTACCGGGGCTGCTGACAAAGGGCTTTGATGTCGGCAGGGGAGCGTCCAGACTAGCGCGCTGAGCGGACAAACAGCTGATCAGCTGTTTGTCGGCTCAGCACGGCAGCCATGGAAAAGTAAATGAAGCGGCGATTTAAATGATCGCCGCTTCATTTGCCTTTGCCTATGTGTCTAATCTATATGCCTCTGACGACAGAGGCATGTAGTCTTAGACACAGCCTCTCAGTCCTATGAGGGATTTGACACAAAAGACTTCAAAAAGTTATGTAAAGATAGGGGTACATTCCATTAAAAAAAATCCACAAGATCAGGAACTGGTAAGTTTTGAGTATCCTCCTGCCATTGCCATGAAACTGGCCTAGTTGCAGCTCATGTCAGCCATGAAGAATATAAGCTGGAGAGAATAATGGTGAGATGTGGATCAGGGAGACTGAGGCATCTTAAGCAGCAATCCAAGCCAGCAAAGAGAGATATCAGCAAAGATCTATGGAACATACGGCAGCAGGCAAAGCTGATGCTGAAAGGGAGAACAAAATGCACTAACGATGCATAGAACTGTGAGAAGTAGAGGAGAGAGCTCAGACGATGCAGTTCAAAGTACTGGAGAATCTCAGTCAGTGAACTGGGGGAGAACCTCTCCAATTATCAAGGTTCAGGACTTCATGGAAGAATTCCTGTCTACCTTTCAGAGGCCACATAGGACACACTAGATTCCAGAGGATAAGTGGATGCCCTTTCCTCTTGATCAGATTAACTAGGAAGGCGAGACAAGTTTTTAATATATGCAGAAATGGAAGAGGGTGGTGATAAGGTGTACACAATATTTAAAGAAATGTAAAGGTTTCAGATTCCCCTTGAGTCCTCTCCATTGAAGTATAAATGTCTTAATGCTGAGAGTATCACTACTGAATCATTGTATACAATGAGTAATTTTATGAGAAAGTGGGTAATGGGATTAAGGATGTTAAATTGCAGTTACTTGATTAGTTGAATAGTCGATGGAATTTCCATCAACTGCTCAACTAGCTGATAGGCACTTCTGTATTCCTCCTTTGAAATGTACAAGAGTCCCCATGCTTGTACATGTGCTTTTCAGAAGTGAGGAGTCTGTGCTGACATGGCCACCCTGCAATCAGACACCAGGGCAGAAAACCTCAGCTTGGGCAAAGGGCTAATAACGGCAGGAGAAAGACAGAGCTATAGCATATTTCCAACAGTAGGTGTAAGGGACACCTCTGTGCCAATTAGGGCTATTAATTGTCAGGCAGCTCCTGTTCTACCCAAACACAGAAAGGTCCAACTCACAGAAATGTAGTTTACTTTGGACCAAAACTGGTAGAGGGCTTCTACATACAAGTGATAATGCAACTGTTTATTCAAAATAGTACTGCTTTGGCAGCTTGGGGAAGATTTAGCCCTAGGTGATGTATTTTATGCATTTTTTCAGTGCTTTTCTTTGCCTTTGGCTAAAGCAAGTCTATACTTGCTTCAGGTATGAGCTTGTTTGCACCATATAATTCAACAAAAGAATTATTATTATTATAAGAGACTGATCTAAGACACATTTTTCTCTGTATTTTTATGATGTTATGCCTAATTATAATATATATATTTTAATGTTATCTACTCTGGCTAGAGACATACAGATAAACTACATATGACACAACACTAGTTATTTTCTTACTATAGCTGAGTACAATGATGATATATGTAAACTACACATGTAACAGTAGTAATGAGTCTTGGGGAAGGGCTGTGAGTGTCTGCTATAAATAGACCATACAAATAAATAATTACAAGCAAGTACTCTTGTGGGTTCCTTTGCCTGTAACTATGAGCTATTGAACATCTTATGCAACCCCCTCTGAGATCTGTTTACTCACAGAAATAGTTACTGTAATTCGCAGATAGTTGAGACATTTCTGCTCCCCCTCACAATCTGCCTGATCTGTTCACTACTCTGTTACTGTGACTATGCTTATCACCATCACAGCTGCATGCACTGGAGCACCCAAAGTCTTCCCTGCAGTATTTGCCTCTCTGTGTTGTGCACATATTCTGACAGCTGTGTGGCTGAAGCAGGACCCTGATGTTGAGAATAAGATGCCATGTGCTATCGCTGGACCATAGGGTTGCCAGGTGTCCAGTTTTGAACTGGACAGTACAGTATTTGAGCTTTCTGTTCAGGAAACAAATTGAGAAAATAGAAATGAGAAATCAGAAATGTCCGGTATTTTCTAAATAAGATGTAATGTAGATTGTGATGTAATGTCAAGTGTGTCCGGTATTTTTGTTGAACCCTACTGGCCCATCTGCGGTTGGCAGGGATACGTGAAGATACTGAACTGTGCTATGATTTTCTCTATGAGAAAGAAAATGTCCACGTTTCAGGTGCTGGCTGAAGGAGGCCCATGTTGGTGGCAGTTTCTCACTTGTTTAGTGGACCGTAGTAAATAATGCTCAGTGCACATTAGCTAGAGCTGCTTGCTTCTTATGACACAGTACAGTAAAGATACCACTGAGCCCCAGGCTGCTGACTCTGAAAAAGCTGCAATTCAAATGTTTCTAGCCTTAGAGAGTAAGCACTACTCAATTTAGCCATAGCCTGGTTCTTTGTTAACTCTGGTTAGATCGGGTCTGTCCATGCCATGAAATCAAAGTACTGGTACTAATTTATAAAGCTGTCAACTACGGATGTAAAATCCTGTTTAAATCAGCTGTTATGTTCAACTGCTTGAATGGAGGGAGGCATGCCTCCCTCCCCCCACAATGGGCAGGGGCTTTTGGCCAGGCTGGTGTGCTGTCACCCACAGTGCACTGCTCCAGCCAGGCCCATTAGATTTGAACCAGAAAGCACCCATCTTTAAGGCAAGCACTGTACCCACAAGGGCTATACAGTGATCCTAGATTTTGCAGTCATCTGACCTGTAGTTAATTATAGTGGAACAGTTTCAAGAGGCAAAAAGCTCAAGTCCCTTCAGGAAGAGGGACTGAGATTTAAACCAAGCTTTCCAGCACCCCAGGTATGGCCCAAACCACCAGGCTACGTAACACTTTTATTAGAGAGTTTAATTAAGTATGAAATGATCAAATTAAAAGTGAACACACTTCAAGAGTTGGGGTGCTTGTTACCCTTCACAGCATTGAACTTAGTAGCTCCAGCCCCGTAACCAAGGGCCAGAATTACTAGGCTCTGCAGGCAAAGCTGTGAATTAGGGCTGTTCTAGCCCAATTAATAGTTAATTAAAGTGGACCCATTTTAAGAGTAAAGCCATCTACTGCTCAAATCCTTTCTTCTCATCAAGCACAGGGAAGGAGGCAAGCAGCCTGACCAACAGGTTACTCAGCAGGCCTGAATAAAAACAGCAGGCCTGAAATCAAGTG